TTTATTTGTGAAGGTGAACACATTCAGAGGAGTCACCTTAAAAGGAGCTCCAAAATCTGCTAAAGTGTATGGAGGCCAGTTTATGGGACAGGTATGAATATCTCTGTGTTTCTATTTGGATCTGCTAGCATTACACACAGTTTTTGGTGATTATGATTGATTATACAGCTTCTTCAATATTCTTCTATATATGTTTTCTCATGTTCTTATGATCAATAATGTTCAGGCATTGGCTGCAGCATCAAAAACGGTTCATTTTCTTAAGATTTTACATAGCTTTCATGCTCACTTCCTTCTTCCAGGGGATGTAAATGGTAAGTCGGTTTCTTTGTAATTTAATACATAAACAACAGCAAGAAATAGCAATGTACCTTTATATATTTGTGTATTATTATCGCATTCTATTTTAATTTCTTTGTATTACAGTATTGTTCTTCCAAAAAATTTGTTATTGAGGCATTGTAGTTTGAAAATTCTACCCATTTATGACAGTGCAGTTTTGTTTGTATATGAATGATATTGCTATAATCGGGTAGAGTTTCTAAAGTAGAATGCTGGAAAAGGAAGAAATGAAAGTAGTACATTGGTATTTATTGCATTTAACCCTTTTATTTTCATAATATTATGAGACAAATATGCTACCTTGATGATTTGCAGTTCCAATTATATATGAAGTTGATCGGGTACATGATGTGCATAATCTTGCTACAAGGAGGGTGAATGCAGTACAAAAAGAGCGTATTGTCTTCTTTTTGATTGCTTCCTTTCATGTATGAAACATAATATTAATAACTCATCATTTCTCACTTTTCTTTCATGTATGTATGTATGTATGTATGTATGTAATGATTGTTGTTCTTTTTATGACAGAGGGGAGAAGAAGGTTTTGATCACCAAGAACCAACAATGCCTTCTGTGCCTGACCCTGAAGAGGTAACCAAATACTCTTTTTTGGATTATTTTTTTGTTTTTTTTTAATAAAAAAAAAAATCATATGGTTGCAGCTTTTGCCAAAGAGTGGATTAGAAGAGGGTGTTAAGCTTTCACGTGATCATCTCAGGTGAGATTGTTTTTTGATGATGAGTTTTTCACACATAAATTCATGTTCCCTTTTCTTACTTGTTAATCATGGAGAAATTGATGAACAGGAGCCAAGTTTCCACTCCAACTTTTGTCCCATGGCCTACAGAAATCAGGCCTTTGGATCCTAACATTTATACCCGCCACACTACACGCCCTGCAAGGTTGTTTCTACTTATATTTATTACATTCATTTTTAATTTTAAAAGATGACTAATTCTTAGTTGTATTGTATTTAAAACTAAAATGTATTGCAGTGTGAGTTACTGGTTGAGAGCAAAAGGTAGGCTTCCAGATGACCAGGCTTTGCATAGGTGAGAGACTCTTTCAGTCCATCACTTTTTTGATAATATGATATGATAGGTGCGGAGGGCATTTACATCTTTTCCACGTATGAGAGATTGACGTGTTATGTCATGTCCTGAAAATGAACAAAGGAGTTTTGTAGGCATCTTCTAATTATCTTTAATGTAAATTACATAAATGGCCCATGTGCTTTCTGACTTTCACCAAACCTTTTTTCAAATCGATATGAAAGTTTCACACAAGGACCCACCCACGTTGAAAAAAATTTCTATTTTTGGTAAAAATAAGAAAGCTTGCAAATAAACAGGTGTGTAGGGGCATACTACTCGGATCTGCTATTCATTCAAATCAGTCTAAATCCACACCGCAGAGAGGGCATGCTTCCATCTTCTATTAGTCTCGACCATTCGTAAGTTAATAATACATCATTTACACTTTTGGTCCCTCAGTATAGCTGATTTTTTTTTCTTCCACTTTTTCTCCCAAAAAGTTTTCTCTTGCAATTTTTGGTCCTTATTTGAGTTTTTTGTTATCTTTTTGGTCCCCTATTTCAAGTAAAATAACTTTTACTTTTTTTTTTTTTTCAGGATGTGGTTTCATAGGGATTTTAGAGCTGATGAGTGGTTACTATACGTGGTAAGTATCACTATATATATATATATATATATATATATATATATATATATATATTTTTGTGGAATAAAGGTGCTACTTAATTAATGTACACATTATTAATTAATTATTTATCAATCATTTACACATTTGGAAAATGGTTTTGTTTTTTGAATTCACTACTACACAGATTGATAGTCCTACTGCTTACAATGCAAGAGGCTTTTCACGTGGTCAAATGTTCAATAGAAAGGGAGAGGTAACAATAGCAACGTACTTTACTCTTGTAAATACTAAATAATGCTACCAAATTGTTATTAATTATGGTAATTTTAATTTTTGGTGTTGCTTGCAGCTTGTATTGTCCGCAATGCAGGTGGGAGTTGTTAGGAAAATAATAAACACACAAAGCTCTATTTCTGCTACTACTGCATCCAAGCTATAATTAATTTAATTCCTCTAAACAAGCTGTTGTATCAATTATCAATTATGATTATTTTTTCTCTATTGGAATCTATGATACAAATCACAATTCACAAAGTTTAGGTTCATCTACATGTTACGTGCATTGTCGAGGGACCAATGTTGTAAATAAGCATACGTCAATAAATATGTTGAAGCTCAAAATATTGTTTAAATATACTATCATTTGTCACAACTTTCAATAAGTCTTCATTCAAAGCATTTTACATAGCTTGCATACACAATGGTTTTCTAAATATGCATCTTTTAGTATTCAGAAAAAGATAAAGACTTAAAATTTACTCTCCAAAACAAGGTGTTTGTTCATGACAAGTTTACAACATCCAAGATCCTACCACACAAATTTGTAGAACATATAATGTAAGGAGATTTGGGGAAGAATATATACTGAAAACCAAACACCAAAAAGTGTAATATGGTAAATCTCAAAAAAAAAAAAAAAAAAAAAAAAAAAAGATTCCTTTTTTACTAATCGGATAACTCCACACTAAATCAAACACTTACAATGCTTTATATCAAGTTGGAATCATTCCAACAAAGCTAACTGGTGATCTATATATGTAAATGGAGGGAGGAGTGATGAATTCTTACTATTGTTTTTCAAAATAAAGTATGATATCGTGTGGAACCTACCACAAAAAAGAAAGACTTAAACCTATTCTTTTTAATTATGATTCTGATTCATACGTTTGACTTTTCATATACAACCAATTTGTATATAGACTGTGATTTTCATATGACAACAGTCCACATATAGAACGGTGATGAATATACCGTATCAAGTGGACCATAAATGTATCAAAATAAAGTTTCGATCCAAATAGTTATGTATGCAGTAGACGGACGAAAATGACGTTTGAAAGTGTATCTTGCTTGGTGCAATACACATAAATTTTGTGAGTTAATACCACGATAAAAACCGTAAAAGTTTATAGTGTTTAAATAAATTAGAAACATTGGATATCGAATAAAAAGTAATACTAATAAAAACTAAATCTATTACAAGAAATTATGTAAGGGAAAAAACATAACTTTTAATAAAAGACCAAAATCATAATTTATAAAATACCAATAATTTAAGTTTAAAATTATTAGTGTGTGTATATATATATATATATATATATATATATATATATATATATATATATATATATATATATATAAAAGAGGAAGATAAATGTGTAATTTATAAAAATTTTGGAAGGAAATCAAGTTAGAAGTTAAATTATAAAAACATTGGACAATTAGAATGTATTATATGATACAAAACGATATAGTATGATTATTTTGGGTACCTCAGCTTATATACATTTAACGGTATATCCACTTTTCCCATATATATATATATATATATATATATATATATATATATATATATATGTGTGTGTGTGTGTGTGTGTGTCATGTTTTACGGTTTCAGGTAACAACAGCTGTTGTATGAGACTGAAGATAGGAGCACGAGGACCTATAATAGATTTTGTTTCCTGTTGCTTTAAATTATGTTTATGTTTTTATTGTAAACTTATGATTAACCCTTGGATGTAAAATGTTTTTATTTTACGAGTTAAATAGAATTTCGTAAATTTTTAGAAATAACTCTGATAATCCCTAGATAATTAGATGTAGAAAATTCAATTTGTTACATTATTAGCAAAGTATGAAATAATAATTGTTACACTAAATTGATTATCAAAATATTGAATAACATCTATTTATGGCTTGTACATTAATAAAACTAAATATAAATATTAATTTTATGTTACTTTTATTTATTCTTATAAGCAATTAATTTGAAAATTACTTATTTGATATTTTTTTAATTTTAATCATAATGATTATTTAAAATATTAAAAATTGTTGTAAAGTTGTGATTCAAATAATTATAGTTTCAGATTTATATTTAAATATTTAAACCATGTTAAAAAATCTTTAACTATTTTTTAATTTTATTTGATATTTTGATTTAGGTTTTGAATTTAATGTCATATATAAATTAACAAATAAATATATTATATTATAGTTCAAAAAAATTTATAAATAATATGATAATATTTATATTTAATAACATATTAAAATTAATAAATTTAGTATGTATAACAAAAAATTAAACGGTTAAAGGTTTAAAATAGATATGATCAAAGAAAAAATGTTTTATTTATAATTTTTAATACAGAATAAATAGTAAAAAACGCTCACTAAAAGTGCATTAAAAAGCATTAATTTAATTCATTAAAAGAGCATTGATGAAAGAATAAGAGAAATTGCCAAATGTTATAATGATTTTTTTTTTCAAAAATAACCAAAAAATACCATTTTTCAACAAACAACCATTCAAAATTACAGGTGATTCGGCGTCGTAATGATACCTTTAAATGGTTACAAAACCAATATTATATTATATATGCTAATTAATTGCATAAGGACACACATTAAAAGTGTAATTAATGAAAGAATAATCCTTGATCCAAATTGATCTTTATATGGCGCCTTTAAATGTCTATTTAAGGAGTCTGAAACAACAAATTCTCTAAATACAACCAAATCAAGCTATTATATCAAACATCAGACTCATGGCTTTGGCATCAAAAAAAAATCTGGCCATGACTATTTTGGTGTTGGCATTTCTTTGCATGGCATTTGTTTCAAGTTTAGGTATGACAGCTTTCGTTCATTTCTCATTTCTTGTGTAATTATAGATAATAATAAAACATATTGATTGATTGTATATGTATTGTATTCAGCTCTTAATCCAACATGCATTGGACCTTGTGCATCGATTAAGAAAGGTTGCCAGAAAATTTGCCAAAATCGGGGTTTTGTTACGGGTGCTTGCATGCCACCCCCTTCGTCTATGTGCTGTTGTCATGATCAACCGATTAATTTTTAATGCTCATTTGTAATTTAAAGGGTTTAATAGTATCTTAATAAGCTTTTAGATACACAAGTTAACAATCATTGCTTGTAAACTATTTTGGGATCTTATTGTTTGATAAGTTACCAGATGATGCTATGAAGCTAATAAAAGTGCATTGACTTTTAATTACTCTCAGTTTTAAGTTTATAACTGAGTACATGATGATATGTTTATAAATAAACTATATAAGAGTAATTCTTATATATTTCATTATTTCCAACTCTATTATAAGAACTCCTTTATAAACTTGATGAGTGTTTATGACTAACTAAAGGAGTTCTAAACAAACTCCAACGATTATTGATCATAATACATTCTATTATCTCTTGCAAGTGAAACAATAGAGCAACATGAAACTTGTTGCGTAGTGTTTGAAACCGAGGAATAGATAATCTTTTTGTAAAAACATTAGCTAGTTGGGAGGTTATGAAAACATAAAGATTAACAATAGGAATATATACAAGACTACAATGCGGCAACATCTCAGCTATCAACAGTGCAGCGAAATAATGTACCCATTTTCGGAACCGAAACCGTCTCGGAACCGCCGAGTCTGGAACCTATTAATTAACTCCCTTTCTCAAACCCGCCCTTTGCTTCCGATAGATGGCTTTCTAACTAGCCTTAGACTATTCCTTGAGAAAGTGATTGTCGCATACCGGCCTACCCTAGTGTCACGGACAAAGTTTCTGGAAGTCTCCGGGACCGTGTAGAAGATGTTGGAACTATAAAGAATACACGAGGAGTCTCCGAAATAATCAAGACGACACTAGACAAAACTAGAATGACTCGGAAGACTCAAGAACGATCTAGAAAATGCTAGATCATGCAAGAATAACCTGGATAATATCATAACACCCTAGAGATATATAGAACATTATAGAATAGTGTATCATAATATGGAGTCTTGTAAAGATAATGTAGATATTGATAGAATACTCTAGAATAGTCGACAATATACGGGACCTAGAAACTTCCATTTGAGGAGGTGTAAGGTGTCTATAAATAGGAATGATGTCTCATTTGTAGGAATCATCGAGAAGTTGCCTTGTAAAGAAGTTGAGTTATATAATAGAAGCTTTCTTGAAGTGTCCCTTGTCGTAACTCTTGCTTCCTGAGTTCGTTAGTACATCTAGATCGTCGAAGTTAGCCTGCCTTAGTCGGAGAAGCACTAAGTGGCACACGATATTGACTAGTCTAAAAGAGTCATCCCGTGACATGTGGTATCAGAGCCAGGTTCGTACGAGCAAGAGATCGTAGCAATGGAAGGAGAAAGTGATGTAGCTAACATTCCCCCTGTCGTCGAAGAGAAAGGAAGGAAGTCCAGGAGGAGGGACCAATCCATTGACCCTTTGGCAAGCTTAGAAAACAAGCTTACAAAGGTGGAGATTAGCGTCGGTGAGATCCTTGAGTGGAAGGATACCGTCGATCAGTTCGTTGCAGAGATAAGTGACACGAGCGATGGATTGAAGGAGACCATCGGTGTCATCAAGGAAGAAGTCCTTAGACTTATCAACACCTTGCGAAATGAGTTCCGTGAGAAGGTAGCTACGCTGGAAGTCGAAGTAAACTTGTGCAAGGCAGCAATCGCCAGAGGAGCTGTTGCGAGTAAGTTGCCACACACGGACGCACCCAAACCAATAAATTATGGAGGAAAACGCGACCCTAAAGAACTTGACGAATTCTTTTGGTCGATGGAATGTTACTTCAATGCTAGTCAAGTAAAGGAAGACAAGACGAAGGTCGATACAGCAGTCCTTTACCTATGTGAGAGTGAAACTCTATGGTGGAGAAGGAAGCACGGAGACATTGAAAATGGCTTATACACCATAGACACCTGGGAAGAGTTCAAGAGGCAACTTAAGAGACAATTATGCCCACATAATGCTGAAGACATAGCGATGAAGAAACTTCGTTGGTTAAAGCATGTTGGATCAATCCGGGACTACATAGTCGAGTTCACGAGCTTGATGCTGGAGTTAACCGACATGCAGGAGAAAGACAAGCTTTTCTATTTCATGGATGGACTACAATCTTGGGCCTACAATGAGCTGAAGAGGATAAATGTGAGAGACATTGACGAAGCTATCGCTGTGGCAGAAGATTTAATGGAATTTCGAAGAGAAACCACGGTTAAGAAAACTAGTGTGGGAGATCAATCAACACTGGAATCATACGCAAATCAAGACGCACCCCAACCCTCGAATTCAAAGGGAAAAGAAATAGAAGGAAGAAATAAAAAGGGAGAACGAAAGGAGGTCAAGTGTTACCTATGTGATGGTCCTCACTTGATCCGAGATTGCCCAAAGAAAAAGACCTTCTACGCAATGGTGTTGCAAGAAGAAGAAGACGAAGCACAAATAAGCTCAATGCGTTTTCTAAACTCAATATCGAAGGGTGAGAGAAAATCATCTAAAAAGGAAGAAAATAAAGGAGGGAGTCTCATGTTCGTCGAAGCCAAAGTGAATACAAGGAACACTAAGGCGCTAGTAGATTCCGGAGCAACACATAGTTTCATCGCAGAGGAGGAAGCCAAGAAATTGGGTATTCATTATACAAAAGAGTTAGGTCGGTTGAAGGTTGTCAACTCTCCATCTAATCCGATCCTTGGAGTTTCTCGTGGAATACCCATGAAGATTGCAGAATGGGAAGGAACCATCGACTTGATAGTGGTTCCGATAGACGACTATCACATGGTACTAGGAATGGACTTCCTGGATAAGGTACGTCCTTGGTCGTTCGAAAGAGACAACACCATGCGTATAACCAAGGGATCAACAATATATATCATTCCCGTGGAAAGAAGCAAGACAAAAGCCCGAACCATTTCAACTATGAAGTTTCATAAAGGCCCCACGAGATAAGGAAGTATGCACATGTGTTATGGCCAAAGTAATAAGATCAAGGAGAATATGAAGCCAAAAAGGGAAGTTTGAGTAAACGAGACACAATCGAAGGAACAGGGATCCATATCTCACTTGAAGATTTACTCAAGACTTTACGAGGCTGAGAGAAGAAGTATGATTCAAGGTACGTTGAGAAATAAAAGCATGCCTTACTCGAAGAGATACCCTGGAGAAAAAGAAAAGACACGAAGTAACTCCGTGACAAGATCGAAACATATGTATAGAAGACTTGACGAGGACGTCAAGGGTTTAAGTGGGGGAGGGTGTCATGGACAAAGTTTTTGGAAGTCTCCGGGACCGTGTAGAAAATGTTGGAACTATAAAGAATACATGAGGAGTCTCCGAAATAATCAAGACGACACTAGACGAAACTAGAATGACTCAGAAGACTCAAGAACGATCTAGAAAATGCTAGATCATGCAATAATAACTTGGATAATATCATAACATCCTAGAGATATCTAGAACATTATAGAATAGTGTACCATAATATGGAGTCTTGTAAAGATAATGTAGATATTGATAGAATACTCTAGAATAGTCAAGAATATACGGGACCTAGAAACTTCCATTTGAGGAGGTGTAAGGTGCCTATAAATAGGAATGATGTCTCATTTGTAGGAGTCATCGAGAAGTTGCCTTGTAAAGAAGTTGAGTTATATAATAGAAGCTTTATTGAAGTGTCCTTTGTCGTAACTCTTGCTTCCTAAGTTCGTTAGTACATCTAGATCGTCGAAGTTAGCCTGACTTAGTCGGAGAAGTACTAAGTGGCACACGGTATTGACTAGTCTAAAAGAGTCATCCTGTGACACTAGTGTTGGAATAGTGTCCAAGGTCATTAACTATTGGCCATATTTCTAATAATAGCAGGGTCCTTTTGGGTTGCCCTCAAGACCCAAATTGAGTAGAATAAATAAAGGAGAAATTGGTTTATTAATTATTATAGTTAATAATTAATTAGAAACTAATTGGAAATATATTTTGAAAATATATTATGGGAATTAATTAACAGTTTAATTAATTAAAGGGTTGAATGTTCATTAATCGATAGTTGGTTAATCAGGAATGTTCCAGAACCCTTATGGAATTAGGGTTGGATGAAAATCACTCCATCCCACATGGGAAAGGAGTGAGATTTCGTGGTTATGCTCCCATCCCACATGGGAAGGAGTACTAAACCCTAGGTGGCATCCAAGGCTATAAATAGGGCCTTAGGGATTCCATTCCTCCTTGCACCTTGGCTTGAAGTATTCGCCAACCCTTCTTCCTCCCCCTCTTAGGGACGATTTCTAACCCCTTTGGGTTTGTAAAATTGACCCTTCTCCTAGTTATTTTTATTCCACTCTTTGGTGTCATTGGGTGTGATACCATTAGAGGGATTCTGGTTTGGTTCCTTTCATCCAAGCAACTTCATGGAGGTTCAAGATCTCAAGCATGGATATCAAGGGCTACATAAGAGGTATGTTTTATTACTTATGTTTTAGTTTTCTAGGGTTGATGTAATTAGCATGAAGCCATAGATCCATAGGATGCATGTACACTTAGGTATATCGTTGTTTCGATTTTTCCGCTGCCTAGTTTTAGAGTGTATTTGATGCATAGAAAACCCAGCAGTGGTATTAGAGCCATTGGTTCATGGTTACCTTCACCCTAGATCCATGTTTTCTGAAAATACTTGTTTGAAATTGAATGGTAGAAGGATAATTGAAAAATTCGTAATGGTTAAAAACCCTAGTCGCAGCTCACGACGTGAGCTCGACAAAATTAGGGTTTTCGGATTTTTGCCATTTTTTCGAATATGAAGGTTTATTAAATATGGATAAATACCAAATTTAAATTGTTTTTGAATCTGGAAAATTGATAAATATTATTTAAATGTGTTTATTTGAATTTGAATATTTATTTGATAATGGATAAATATTATTTAAATATGTTTATTTGAATTTGAATATTTATTAATTGATATATATTATTTAAATGTGTTTATTTGAATTTGAATATTTATTTGTTATTTAAATAGTGAATTTAAATATTTAATATTATTTATAATATGGATTTATAAATTTGAATATTACCCCTCATGATTTATTAATTGTTACATTGCGTCCTCGCAATTAATTAGAATTAATAATAGACAACTAAATTTAAAGAGTTTTAAATTTACCCCTTGTATTTATATATA